CGCTCGCCAGCCATGAGCCAGCTTCTGGCTAAGCGGTGCTCCCCCTGTGGGAGCACACTGACCACCAGGGGGAAGCTCCTGCATTGAACGTCTGCTCCCTGGTGGTCAGTGCGCGTCATAGCGACCGGTAGTTCCACTGTTTAGTCAATTTGCATATTAGCCTTTTATTATATAGGATATATATATATATATATGAATATGTACATACATTAAACTGAAAGACATAATTATCTTATAATATGTGTCTATAGGTAGATATATAGAAATGAAAATGGGCAGGGCATAACTTCTTGAAAGCAGGAGTATGTTCTACCAGTGGAGTATGTTAGAGAGTTGGGGATAAAGATAGGACTCAAGAACAACCAGAAAACTCTTGATTAGGTTCCAAGTCTTTGTGTATATTCTTAATATGTTCTGTGCTTGTAGATATTATTTGTAACCCTCCCACCTATAGGGAACTAAACTAGGGAGCCTCCATCAAGGGATAATTTAATAGGCTTCACAATTTAAAAGCCATGACTTTAATCTTCACTTAAATTTCAGAACTTGAGAAAAATGCTTTTGATTTCTCAAGTTTAAACAACCCCACTTAATTATCCTCTCTTACCTGCCTCTTCCTTAAATCCACTAACAGCTCCTGATGTCTGATTCTTTATGCTAGGCAAATAGTTTGGACCATCAAAGAACCATAAATATCTCCTGAATAAAAAGACAGTTAACTAAAAGTCAAGAACCTAGCTCATTCAAAAAAGTTCTCAACAAAATGAATGTTGCCTAATTGCTGTAAATTAAAGGAATAAAAATAGTTAATATTTGTGCCAAGAACTGTTTTAAGCTCCATATGTGGCTTATCTTATTCCTTAAAACAATCCTATAAGGTAAGTATTATTATACCCATTTTACAGATAAAGAAACTAAGGCATATAGAGCCTAACTGGTGAGTCAAAATTCAAATTTGGGACAAGTGACTTGAGAGCCTCCTGGGAATATTTTCAACAGTTCTGAAAACCATCCACTCGCAAGATGATTTTGACATACCTGTGAACAGCCCCACTCCTCAGAGTTATTTTTTCCGTGACCATCTGTAGCACATGATCCCACTGGTTCAAGGCTTTTCTAGGGATGAGGAGGCGAGATGCTGGGCTTATGAGGTCTCCATTTGCAATCAAGCTGGACAAAAAGCAAAGCCAGTGAGCCATACCATTTGACAGAGTAAAGCCACTATAATTATAGTGCAATCCCCAAACCAGAAGGAAACCACCAGCCAATTTCAACTTGAACTGTAAAGGCCTCCAACTTACAAGATAGTACAGGGTTCCTGACGTGGTTTTCTAAATCGAGCTGACACGTTGATCCTGCTGTGGATTACTGGTTTTACCTTTAAAGGCAAAGAAATACAAATCACTGAGCTTATGTTAGTTGTTTCTTATTGAGGAAAAACTACAGGTTTCCAGGGAACTCGCTGAGACCTGTGATGCCTGTGTTAACATCTTGCTTTGTAAAAACACTCTGGGCTCATCCTCTATCAATATTATGTGGCCTTAACAAAGCTCTCAAGAAAAATTTCTGCCCCTGATCTATACCAATACAGACACTGTTGGGCTATTAGAAGAATTTCAGGGAAACTTTTTAAAACAGTGCTTTCTGGAAAACAACAATAAAATAATCCTATAAGATACTGAACCCTGAAGCCCCCCTCCAGCCACAATCTGTCTTGTCACCTCTCCTCTCCCACCTTCATTTCATCTACTCCCTGAATCTAGACCCCATGCATCTTGACCTCATTCTATTCTCTTCAGACTAACTCTGTCACTTTTTCTCAAATTTCCTTCTTCCCAATTTATCAGCTGCCCTTGAGCCAATTCCCTCAGTTCCTGAACTCCTTGCATCTGGGTGGGTCTGGTCATCTTTCCATCCTTGTTGCTTCTAGAATCCAGGCTGCTGTTAGCGAGAACCACATGGCTCCCTGGTACCTTCTCACGAAGCGTTTGCATCAGCCAGACTCATCCTCCTCCCAAGTCCATTACTTCTTACATTTCCTACGGTGGATAATCCAAATCCCTACCTCTCCTCTTAAACTCTAAAATCCCACCCCAAATACTCAGCAGATCATTTCCTTCCAACTGATCATTCTCAGCAGATCAAACTTCAAGAAAAGAAGCTGAAAGGCCTGCAGCCTTTCAACCTCTGTATCCTGCCCATCCCACCTCCTCTGCACCTTCACTGCTTCTCACCTTTCTGCCTGTCCCATAAAGAGGATCTTCATCCCTTTACAAAGCTCACCCCGACTTGGGATTTGTCCCCCGATGGCTCTATTTGTCCCATTAATTATCCAGGCCCCTCCACCTCCATGTGGGATCTTTAATTTCTCCCTTAGCCCTTTGGCCCTATCAAGGACTACCCCATCCCTATATATCCTCCTCCTGCTTCACATTCCCACTTCCTCCTGCCCACATCCTATCTCTGATCTTCTGTTATCCAGTTTCCATCTCTACCACTGAAAGATAATGCCCAACTCTTAGGCATTGCCTATAAGAACCCCATGGCCAACCATTGCTTGCTCAGATTCCTCACCTCCTACCAATATTCCTTCCATGCAGACCTCTGGTAGTGCACTTTACACAAACTAGCCTACTCCCCTCCATTCCCAAAACACGCCATGCATCCACCTCTGTGCCTTTGTGCATCGTGCCCCTCTGCATACAATGCCCTCATTTCTCCATTCGCTGGGCCTAGCTCATTAATCACTGGTCTTCCTCTATTCATTCTTCCTTCACTTTCTGTCTCAAACTGCTACTGCTACTATAGTGTACAGTAGATGACAGCACTTTTGAGGGCTTCCACTCCCAAATTTGAAAAGAAAACTTATAAGCAAAGGGAACTGATAAATAAAAACAGCTAACATTTATTGCACTAGATTTAATGGAAAGCACTGTGCTAAGTAATTTACATGCGTTATATATCATTTAATCATCAAAGCCATATCCTGAAGTACAATTACTATTGCCCCATTTTACAAGTGAACAAACTAGAGCTTAATTAATTTGTCTAAAATATCGCACATAATAAGGAGCCGAGTAGTTAGTGAGCCCACATATATGAATTCTAACTATTGGTTATACACTTTACTAGCTATTTTAGAGATCAAATATTAACCCTGAATAATTTATAGTATTCTCTCCTTTTTTCAAAATATGCTTTTTTGAGTGGAACAAAATGAATGAATTTTCCTGCCTCTCACTGGTGACTAAAAAAATACTTGCAATGCCTGCTAGTTGTATAATAAATGTTTGTTAAAATTTAATTAAAAGATACACTGATCTAAGGCACATGGATCAATGAAACAAAATAGAGAGCCAGGAAATAAACCCACACATTTATGGTCAGTTAATTTACAATAAAGAAGCCAAGCATATATGTACAATGTGAAAAGGACAATCTTTTCATGCATACTAAACAGCCACATACAAATGAATGAAACTGGACCCCTATATTATACCATATACAAAAATCAATTCAAAATCAATTAAAGACATAAATATAAGACCTAAAACCATAAGTCCTGAAATAAAACATAGGGAGTGAGCTCCTTAACAAGAGATAACAAGTATTGGTTAAGATGTGGAGAAAAGTAAACCCTTGTGTACTGTTGGTAAAAATGCAAATTGGTTCAAACACTATGGAGGTTCCTCAAAAAATTAAAAATAGAACTACCAAATGATCCAGCAATCCCACTTCTGAGTATTGATTTAAGGTAATGGACATAGGACATTTAAAGAGATATTGGCACTCCCATGTTCATTGCAGCATTATTCACAATAGTCAAGACACAGAAACAATTTAAGTGTCTGCTGATGAAAAATGGATAAAGAAAATGTGATATCACACACACACACACACATGCACATACACAGTGGAATATTATTCAGCTCTGAGAAAGAAGGAAGTCCTGCCACTTGTGACAACACGGATGGACCTTAGGGCATTATGCTAACCGAAATAAACCAGACAAAGAAAGAAAAAAATTGCATGATATCACTTACACATAGAATCTGAAAAAAATAAAATAAAAGTCAAACTCATAGAAAAGGAGAGTAGAAAAGTGGTTGCCAGAGAGGGTGGGGAAATGGGGAGAGTAACCAGATACGAACATTCAGCTAGAACAGTGGTTCTCAATCTTCTTGCCCTTTAAATACAGTTCCTCAGGTTGTGACCCAACCATAAAATTATTTTCGTTGCTACTTCATAACTGTAATGTTGCTACTGTTATGAATCGTAATGTAAATATCTGATATGCAGGATGGTCTTAGGCGACCCCTGTGAAAGGGTCGTTCGACCGCCAAATGGGTCACGACCCACAGGTTGAGAACCGCTGAGCTAGAAGATGAGTAAGGTCTGAGGATTCAATGTACAACATGGAAGAAAAAAAAGATACTCCAATACAGAATAGAACATTTCAATTCAATCAAAATAATTTCACATTTTAAACCCGAGACTCTTGCACCTATACCAACATTAATGGTGATGTTGACTTGTTTAAAAAAAGATGTTTAATAGGTAAGGCAGGCACCTACACAAAATTCAAATAGTAAAATGAGGCAAACGGTGAAAAACAAATGCCCTTCCTACTCCTGCTCCCCACCACCATGTTGCAACCAGAGCCAGCAATGTCCCTTCAAACATCAGTCTACACAGACATAAGCATATCATCTTATGAACATATAATTTTTAAACACAAGTATATCCTGCTATATCCCTTCTTCTGCACCTTCCCTTTTTCACATAGCAATGTACCATGGAGACCACTATGGAACTTAGGGGAAGGGTTGCTTCATTCTTTATACCAGCTGTGTATATCCCACTCTGTGGACACTCCATGGTTTATTTAACCTGTCCCTTAATAAACTTTTGCTATTGCAAATAATGCCATGACGTGTTTCCTTGGAGATACTCATTTGCGCAAATATGTTAGTATGTCTGTAGCTTTTTCACATAGCAATGTACCATGGAGACCACTATGGAACTTAGGGGAAGGGTTGCTTCATTCTTTATAGCAGCTGTGTATATCCCACTCTGTGGACACTCCATAGTTTATTTAACCTGTCCCTTAATAATGGTTTCCAAACCTTTGCAGACTTTGTTTCCAAACTTTTTCTACTGCAAATAGTGCCATGACGTGTTTCCTTGGAGACACTCATTTGCACAAATATGTTAGTATGTCTATATAATAAACTATTAAAATTGAGAACTTGCTAAATAAATAAGCCTTTTTTTTTGTTTAATGGGATTTATTGAAAGCTTAGTCTTGATCAATCTCAAGAGTCCCTTGATTTATTTAAGTTCATACTATAGCATAGACAATAAATCCATTTATAAGGAATGCTGTTATATGGCCAGGTGTGGTTTACAATGTCTTTAGGTGACTACAAATCCCTCTCCCATCAATCAGATTGCTTACTTGTAAGGTCAGCATGTTTAACTGCATGTAACTTTTACCTGTGTGAAGGACAGGCCTTTCTGACTCTGCTTGTGTAACAGTGTCTTCCTCTTGAAATCCACGTTTTAAATATAGCTACACTGCTTCCCTGCTCACTTGACTTAAAGCTGCTGCCACATCCCTGGTTCTCTGTTGCCTTTCACTGCTTATTATTTTTTTCCATATCACCATCATCTGACACATAGTATATTTTATTTATTTGGTGTCTATTTTCTGGTCCCTATTGTTACTTTTTAGTTACTCTCAATATTAACTACTAATGTACTGAGCACACACTTCACAGTCAGTTGTTAATTTTTCAAAAGTCTTGCCTACCAACCTTAATTGTTCAATACCTTGCTGGATTATTGAATTCAAGATGAAGATGAATAAATTATATAAACAAATAACTTAAAGACTTTTGAGTTGGCTAAAATATGCTACTCTTTTTTAGAGCATACGTATTTATAATATACAGAATTTTCATAAATAAACATGATTTTAAAAATAATTACATAACTTCATTCTAAGTCTATAAATTGTTGCTTGAATTAAAGCAAACCATCTGCTTGGACAAGTTTTTTTATTCATTCATAAGACAAATACTTCCCAAATGTTCATGATTGACCAGCTGAACTAAGTTTAATCTGAAATATATATTTATTTGAGTCATTATATTAAAAATAATGGAAATAGTCTGTCTTCAGATATACTAATAAAATAATCTTAAGAAATAATCCAAGTAATATATCTGAATTTTAAAAAATGCAACACCACTGTATAAAATAACTGAAACTTTTTGGAAAATTTTTCCTTTAAAAATAATTTTTCTATTGACATCTTAAATAATAAAAATTCTAAGTTAAATCTACTGCATATCAGGAGCTTTCCAGAGTCCTTAT